ACCTTTGGCTGCAGTACACGTTGGCTGGAGAAGAGGAAAACTTTGAAGTGGAGAAGGTTAGAGGAATCAGCAATGCCAGAATCAATAGATAGCTTTGGGATCTTGGTTGAAATTTGTTCTAGGGCCTTTAAAAATTTTTTGTTTAAAAACTGCATGTAAGTGGAGAATAGTATTTCTAAGCTTCTTCTTTAACCAAGGGCAAGTGTAAGAAGACTCAGCATCAATGGGTCGAATGTGCCCCATGGATGTGCACATAGGAATGTCCCTTTTTGACAGAGGAGCTGAGGGAAAAGGCGGGCAGTGATGTGGGAAGTGGGACCGAAGCCTCTGCAGATGGGGTGAAAAAAGAGCAGCAAACCCACCCTCTGCAAGAAACTGTGAAAAAAATTCCTGGCCCTGGAATCCCAGGACTTCCCCATCCTTCACTTTCCCACTTGGCCCTGCCATCTGGCTCTCAGTGATGCCTCTTGTTTCTTCATCCAGGATTTGAAACATAGCACTGATACATAGGTAAAGAGATGAGCTTGGTTTACTCAGGTGATTGGGTAAATGGGCCATTTTTCTTTTTCTGTTAGAAAATAGTTATTTTCTGGGTTGAGATAGGAAACATTCTTAGTTTCTGTATTATTGTGATAAGACACTTATCCTTTAGACTAGTACTGTTTCTCTTGCCAGTATTTTTGCAAGTCATACCACCTCAACATTTGTAATGATCTATAAGAAGTCAATTCCATCTCCTGATATAATGATCCATTGTGTTTCATGCTCAGCCTGCTTTTTTTTTTTTTTTTTTTATGTTTTAAAAGCAACTGTAGCAGAGGTATGATTTAAAGGGCCAAACTTAAGTAAAGTCTGCGCTTTTTTTTTTTTTTTCCCCCTTTACCTTCCCTTGGCTTTCCCTAGCTTCTGTGCTTTAACCATTTCATTAAAAGAAAATATATGTTGTATTTACCAATATTTCTTCCTTAGAGCAGAATTCTAATGAACAAACAGAGATGGATATAGAAATAATCATTAAGCAAGTAAGCACAGTAATAATTATCACATTAAGTGCCCAGTCAGTCAGTCACCAGTGACTGATACTATACTTTCCGTCTGGAAGACAAAACAGGCTGGGTGCTTAATGTGTTATAGTAGGTAAGACTTTTTGATAGATACAAAATTAATGGGCAGAGGTATGATGAGAAACATGATAGTTGTAGCATCTTAAAATACCTCTATACATAAAAGCCTAAGTGACTGGCCAACTGGCTGACAGGCCAGTAGTTATGATGTGCACAAACTGACCCACAATGTCTTTTTTTTTTTTTTTTTTTCCATTCCAGATCCAGTTCAGGATATCACCTTGCATTCGGTTCCCTTGTCTCCTCAGCCTTCTCTAATCTGGGGCAGTTCCTCAGTCTGTATGGCTGTATTTGTCTTTCATGACCTTGACATGTTTTAAGAGTCCAGGCCAGTTAATGCTCAATGCAGGAGCTGCTGAGCTGCAGTCACTTGGCAGCGGTGGTCCTTGGGTGGCACACCCAGAACCAGAGAGGAGGGACCCCTCAGGGGATGTCGGGGAGTCGGTTTCAGCCTGGTCCCCACAGGCCAGGGTGAGGTTACAAAGAGTGGAGCAACCTGGCAGATACTACCTTGACCAAGTCAGAAAGTTAATATCACCAGTAATGAGACAGGTTGTCCTCATTTACCTCCTGGTGGCCTAATATTACTTCTGTGATGTTCTTGCCAAAAATGCACAGTCTTGACTTAATCATGAGAAAACATCAGACAAAGCCAAATTGGAGAGCAGTGTACAAAATAACTGGCCTGGACTCTTTAAACATGTCAAGGTCATGAAAGACAAATACAGACATACAGATTGAGGAACTGTCCCAGATTAGAGAAGGCTGAGGAGACAAGGAAACCGAATGCAAAGTTTTAATGTCCTGAATTAGATCTGGACTGAAAAAAAGAAAAGAAAGAAAAAAAAGATATTGTGAGTCAGTTTGTGAAATTTGAATAAGGCCTGCAGATTGTTTAATTATTTTGTATCAATGAAAATTTTATTATTTTAATAATTAACAATGGTTATGTAAGGTGTTAATATTAGGAGAAGTTGAGGGAATGGCCTTCAGGAATTCTATATAGCTGTCACAACTTTTTGTGAGCCTAAAATTATTTAAAAATAAAAAAGTTAAAAAGGAATGTTCTGGTATGATTTTTGAATTATTTAGAATTTCTTGGTTGGCAAGAAAAGAATAATTCTATACCATAAGATACCTTTTATAATTTCTTATTTGCTAGGATTTTCACTTTTACAATTAATTTTAGAGGCTTTATATATATATATAATATATATTAAAATATATATAAAATACATATATATTAATATATATTAATATATATATATATATATTAAAAAAGGAGTAACCCTTTAACCTGATGCCCAATGGAGTCTTCAATAGCCATACTAAAACATTTATTTCAGTTTTATAATTGTGACAGACCTTGAGTAATAGCAACTTCGTTCCAAATGGCAAGGGAATGGGAATTCAATACTTTGGATCATCATCTTCTTCTTCTTCTTTTTTTTTTTTTTTTTAAATCTAATCCAGCTTTCTCTCATCTAAAGCTAAAAGTGTGATAGAAATATTTCAGAAAATTAGCTCTTATCTGTGAAATACAATAAATGATAAGATCAAAGAGTAGATCTTTCTTAAAACTTATTCTCTTTCCCCTTCTCCCCCACACACTCAGTAATTTAAGGCCTTTGAGGACAGCTTCTATGTGGGCTTGTTCATTTGCATCCCCAGGCTTCCAGCCAGTGTTTTACCCATAATAGAGTGTCAACAAGTCCCGGGAGAAGATGCAAGTCTAAGTGGCTGGGGTGGGGAGAGAATGGTGTGTGTTGGGGCTTATCTTTATTCCAGAAGTATCAAACAGAGTGAAAAGTGATAGATCTGACTTTTTGTGATCACAGATGTCAATAGAAAAATTGATTTACCTTATTAAGGCTTAATTCCATACAAACCTTGAACCTAAAAAAATAATAAATAAGAGATTCAAGGTTGAGTGAAAGACAAAAAATATTAGAGACCTCTGACTTTCCTGCTGGCAGTCATACGTCCTCTGGTGAAATTTGCCTTTTTAACCTAACATTCAACATCCATCTCTACTATTGTTGACTTTTTACTGCATTGATTTTGGACATTGTTCCCATTAGCATTCCTTCTGTATTTAAAATATTTATCTCCTCCTATTTGCTTTGTCTTTTATAAACTGTATTTGACTTAGCTGTTAAATAAATTGCTTGTCATTGAAAAAATAGGCATTTTTAAGGGTTGATTTTGAGGTGTTTCATCAGTCCAGAAACAGTTTTAGAAGGTGTAGGAAGAGTGTAGAACTGTTCAATAGAATAAAAAACCTCAAATCACTCTTTTCTTGGGGGTGGAAGAAGGGGTTTAAAAATAGATTTATAGACTATCACTAAGGTCTCTTGGGCCCAGATGAGATCATCTCCCAAGTTACCTTGGATCAAAAGTTAAAGTAGTATTAGATTATTTGTCCTCCACTTAAAATGAATCATTGACTAAATCAGTAACTAAATTCTGATTCCTTAATGCCTCCCACGCTTTCACTTGCTTGCAACTTCTGTCTCCAAATGCATTTTATTTGAGGTGCCTTTGTCTTTTAGGAAAGATGTCCAGGTAGTATTAAACAGTTGAAACAAAACAGGCTTTCAGTAGAATAAACATGTAACCATACTTTAACAAAACATATGGTAAATTACTCATAACATAAAATTAACCATACTTTTTTAGTGATTGCTAAGGAGGTTTTACTTAAGGTGCCAAATGAAAAGGCAACATTCTCCTCCCCCCACCTCCCCCCAATGGAGCAAAAGGTTATAATGAAAATAAATTTACGTTTTACTTTGCTTTACTTAAAATGGAGAAGACAGAACTTACCTGTTTTGTGGCTCTTCATATATTTAACTAAGGTAGATTCATTTACAAAACAAATGTGTTGTTTATTTTTGTGAGAAGGAGAATTCAACTTTGAATGCCTTTTACAATATATTTGTTAAGTACAATGTAAGCTGCCTCATTTTTTTCCCTCTGGTTTTCTCGAAGCACACATCTTTCCATTAGTTGCAACACCTTTCACCGACATATGTTTTATACCAAAAATATGCAGTGCTTTAGAGTCAGAATTGCCAAGGTGTGTCCTATATCAAATTCTTGGATTTTTTTTCAGTTATAAATATTTTAAGCCATATCAAAATATTTACACGTTGGTATTGTTATTTTTCTAGAATGCCAGATTAAGAGCAGTTAGCTTTGCCTGAATCTGACTTTGAAATGCAACTTAAAAGTGACTAACCTGCAATGCCTTTTGGTTAGCTATGAATCCTTATTTATGAACCTGTGGTCCACATTGCTGTCGGAAGTGGTAATGGGAGCCTAGCCACAAGAAACATCTTCGGCTTTTCTTTTCTACCAGGGCATGGTGACAGTGCATGATAATCAATGCCTTTTGAGGTGATTTTTGTCAGGAGAAGTGATTTGTACATTGCTTAGAAGGCACTATTCCTTAGGCAACAAATGAAGTTTGCATTCCTGAGGCACTATCTACCTGACTTTAGTATGTAAGGATTCTAAAGCTAGAACTATATAATCTTTTAAAAATTTCTTAAATGAATCTAGAGAGAAAAAGAGCATCTTTCACATATGCACACAAATAATTTGGGAAGTCTAAAGATTTTGTTGTTTGGTCTTAGTAGCTGCTGACTGCAGAAGGTGATCAGTCAGTTCTGTAACTGGTGCCTTGAGCGACTCCTAGCCATGGCAGATGGTTGGGGATGACTCAGGGATTGCTGCTTGTGTTCTGCGCCAAAGACATTTGCAAACAATTGTATTGAGATGATACAGTAAGCCAAACAAGGAGAAATCATAAGGCTGGCAATTTGGGCCTCTGGGGTGACTGAAATATCATCTTTGTAATTTGTCTGGTTTCAGATTGCCTGTTTGGTACCTGTGGATCAATTCCAGCTTTATCAGCGGTTGAAATTTGAACGAGGTATGTATGCACTCTTCTTTTCATCCCGATGGTAAATGTAGTTTGACACCTGTCATCTTTCCGCTAACCTGCATGGAAGGCCAAGGCAGCTGCGGGCTGTCAACAAAGCCACGAGGGTGCTTGGAAAGGGGAAAACTGTAATTGCAATGTACAATTTCAACTCTCTCAGCCACAGCTAGAGAAAATTCAGATTAGTAGGAAAGAGAACTTTCCTTATATTGGTTTTTAAAGATATGTTTTTATTGATTTTAGAGAGAGAGGAAAGGAGAGGGGGTAATATGCATTTCACAGCCACACCCATCTTTACGCAGTAATAACCTTCCCATAGGTGAGGCACACATGGAAAATCATTGGCCAATGCTCGCTTTTCTCCAGAAAGTGCATGGATAGATGTCAATGGACTTTGCTTAGTGACTGGGACTTTTGGATGCTCTTGTAGTGTTCATCCTTATGTGTGATTGGCTTATTCCTTCATTAGATTTGATAATGTAGTCAGTCTGGTTACAATCAAGTTGGACAGACTTTGTAGCCAGGCTGTCTTTTATAGGTACTCTTGCACATCTCTGCTTTGAGGCATTGTAAGAAAATCACATAGTTTTACTCGTACATGGAATTTATTTTTTTCTCACAAGTTTTAAACAGATGCCTCCTTAGAGATCCCCATGAATTGACAATTGACTTTATTATTCCCATTTTATAGATACAGAAACTTACAACTGAAGAAGTTGAAATTTGCTTAGGATCACATAGATGGTGTCTAAGCTTCCTCAACTATAAAACTTTAAAAAATTCTATAGTTTTATATTGAGGTAAAATATATCTAACATAAAATTTACTATTTCACCCATTTGGGTATTTATAAAAAGTCATTTTAGCTAACGTTAAATGTAAACAAGAAGGAATAATTATGTTAGAAAATAGACATTTTAAGTAAATTTAAGTTAAATCAGTGCTACACAATAAAGTTTATTTGATTGGGATATTCTTTCTAAGTTGTACATGTGTCATTGTTATATAATATACTTCATATTCACCTCAAAGGCAAGATTTATCGGCTAGGCAATTTTGAGGTCTTGATTATAAAAATTACTAGAGGCCTGGTGCATGAAATTCGTGTACAGGGATGGGAGAGTTTGTCCCTCAGCCCAGCCTGCACCCTCTCCAATCCGGGACCCCTCAGGGGATGTCTGAATGCCAGTTTAGGCCTGGAGATCAGGCCTAAACCAGCAGTTGGACATCCCTTTCACAATCTGGGACTGCTGCCTCCTAACCACTCTCCTGCTTGCCTGCCTGATTGCTCCTAACCACTTCTGCCTGCCAGCCTGATTGCCCCCAACTGCCCTCCCCTGCCAGCCATTTTGTGGCGGTCATCTTGCAGCAGCCATCTTGTGATGACTTGGGGGCAGCCATCTTGTGATGACATGGGGGTGGCCATCTTATGACAACGTGGGGGCAACTATCTTGTGATGAAATGAGGGCATTGCATGAGGGCGCGAGGGCCAACTGTATTGCATACCAAGTTCTTTTCTCAGTTTTTAGTTTGTCATCTGTGTTTCTTTCTTTTTAAAATAAATATATTTTTATTAATTTCAGAGATGTGGGGAGAGGGAAAGAGAGAGAGAGAGAGAAAGAGAGAGAGAGAGAGAGAGAGAGAGAGAGAGAGAGAGAGAGAGAGAGAGAAACATCGTTGATGAAAGAAAATCATTGATTGGCTGCCTCCTGTATGACCCTTACTGGGGAGCAAGCCCACAACCCAGTCATGTGCCTGAACCCAGAATAAAAACTGACCTCCTGATCATAGGTCAATGCTCAACCACTGAGCTACACTGCCAGGCATCATCCTGTGTTTTACTGTCCTCTACTTCACACTTGACTAAGTCTTTGTGAGGAAGAAAATCTGTTGAATGAGTTCAAATCACCTCTGTTTACACAAAGGTGAGAGAAACATCATTTAGAATTGTTCCATTATTGTGTGAATCCACTTTGCATCTATCCGTGACTTTCCATTGGCTATTGCTGTGTTTGTAGCTTTCCCTTTCTGTATCAGTCTTCTAATATTAGGGACTAAGTTTGGCATGTGCTAGTGATTACTGATTTACTTTTTTTTTTCCTTTTTTTTTTTTTTCTGCTTTACTTTCTACTGCTACTCAAATCACATGTCTGATGATTAATGCTAGAAGTTTGTTTTGCTCTTGTTTCCAGATTCTACTTTTTCAAAAGAATTTTTTTTCTTTAAAAATTGGGTTTTGATTATCCATTATCCATTTCTAGTCCTTAAGGACTGTTTCTATTTTTGTAACCTTGTTTTACTTTCTATAACTGCAAGTTCCTTTAGTTCCCTAATAGGTTAAGGTGTCTATTCTTGGCTAGTTGTATTTTCATATAGTTGTTAGAAACAAATATTTTAAGTGCCAGATTGTTCTTCTTTATAAAAAAGTGAAGTAAAATGAGAATTTGTTTTTCTGTTATCTGCTCATCCTATCATATTCACTCATATAGTCAATACCTACATTTTTATGTAGTGAGCATCTATTCTGCACTAAGTACTAAGTGCAGTTCCAGAGGCTGTTTATCTCTCCTTGAAAGCCCTCTTGTTCTCAGCATTTTTTCACAAGCCTCCTTTCATTTTAAGTCACATTTATGATATGGCTCTTCAGGTTTAATCTCACTTTTTTATTTGTCCTTAGTGAAATGCTCCAACCCTATCTTTTGTGCCTGAGCAGTAAGGTTTGTCTTACCAGAGGACCCTGTGAGGTTATTTGATGTTTTCTAGGGCTTAAAAAAAAAAAAAAAGACTGTGACACTTAATGACCTTATCATTAGTTCAGTGTTTTTTTTTTTTTGTTTTTTTTTACACCTCCCATCTCTCATTAGTCATCTTCATTTTTATAGTTTCTGATCACAAGCCTGTTTTTATTGTGTGTGTGTGTGGGAGGGTGTGTGTGTGTGTGTGTGTGTGTGTGTGTGTGTGTGTGTTTTCTTTTTGAGCCTGCCTTTCTGGTGGTTTGTGGTAAGTGAAGGATTAAGTCTAGGGTTTCCTCCCTAAGCTATTTTGTGCTTCCTGGTAATAACACTTTCTCAGCTTCACGCTTCCTCTACTTTACCTTCCAGTTCTTCCCTGTTGATCAGTTGTAAATCTAAAATAGTACCCTTTCGATGTTTCAGTTTTCTTTGGAAAATCTAAATTATCTTCAGGGAAGACATTAATCTGCATGTAGGATGAGATTTCTAAAGTCTTGAAGGAGAGGCACATTGTTAAGTGCCACTTTCTGTGCACACTTCTATCTCCTCATCTATGAAATGGGGATAAAAAAGAATGATTACTATAGGGCTGTTGTAGAGAATAAGTAAATATTGTGTGTGGGTCACAGTGTGCATTCAGTAAATTATCACAGCTTATTGTTATTGTTGTTATTAATCACTACCACCACTAAAACTTCCCTTTCCCCCAGTTTTCTGAACTAAAATAAGAAAGCATCTTCCAGAATCATACCTTAGACTGAGTGTATAATGTAATTAGCAAGTTTACTTCTGTTTTCAACTTATTCCCAAGTTTTTCCAGCATGTTTCCATTCTCATCGTCCTAGGTTCTAGACTGTTGTATAGAAATTTGATAATCAGTGCTAATTCCTTCACACCACCTTATCATATTCATTTTCTCCCTGCAGTATGCACTTACTATACACATGAATCCCCTTTCTCTGACCACCTCCAAGGAGATCATGACTTGAGAGGAAGCATTCAGAGTTGCTACTTGGAAGAGAAAATGTTCCCATGGTGATAGTGGAAATGAAAATCTATTTAGTAGCATGATTATAGTTAATGGCATTTTAGGAGTTAAAAAAGGCCTGACCCCATCATATATTCATTAACCCCATTATACAAACTCCTAACTTCTGTGGGTACTAGGTAACTTAAAAAGTTGTTTCCAGGTTTGAAATTCTGTGGTTATCTTCAACTATCTTGAGAGCAACTCCTGTGCTGATGGCCACCTCTGTTGAGTCTATTTCCTAGAGCAGATGTTAATGCTGATCAGTTTAATTCAATTGCATTTTAACTATCTTCAGAAAACCTTTTTCTATGAGATATCAGAAAGCAAATTAACTTTGGCATAATTAAAAATGCAGTGGGTCATAAAAATTAAAACAGTTTTATTTATTTCAGCTGGTAATTAAATTAGCTTGCGGGCATGGTGTTCCCCACAATAAGAACTCATGTGATGTCTGTATGGGCACAGCCTCACAAATGTAGAGGATGGCAGAGAAAGCACTCATGTGAGCTGAGAGAATATACTACAGAGTAAGAAACAAACTACATATGTGGTATAGTTCGGGTGGGTAAACCAAAGGGCCCTGAGTTCAATTTTTGAAAAGTGAAAATGGTTATTGATGTCAGATATGGTGTTTAGGTCTCACTGCAGTTTTATTTTCTTAGAATGTTTCTACTTCCCAATGATTGTCAGAATACAGAAGTAGAAAGCAGTTTAAATAGCATTTCCTGCCTTGCAAAATTTGCATGAACAAGCAGAGTCTTAAGATCAAATAGTCATGGAGCCTTACTTCAGTAATTTATTCATTTTCATAAGTGCACTCCAGTGCAAGTCTGTGAATTTGTCCATCTCTGACGGTAAATATGTTATAACTAATCACTTTGAAATTGTGTTCATATTAAAGTGTTAACTATTAGTTAGGGGCTGATTTACACAGACTCCTGGTTTCTCTATTTCTAGATTTCTGAACATTTCTCCTTCTCAAAGCAACATAAAGTGTTCATCACTCCCAGTGCAGAAGAAATTAATTGAATATTCATTAGTGTTTTTTTTTTTTTCTAGCTCTGGAAAAGAAATTTGAAGGGGGAAGAAACTAGACCTTCAATATTTTGGATAGGGTGCATTTTGTTTCTCTGCATAATTACTGTTTTCTAGGCCAAAAGCCAGGAGGTAGAATTGAATTTATCCTAATAGTAATAGTGTTTTATAGAATCCCGTGTATCACCTTAGGTTATATGACTACTCTAGCCTCATAATAGATCTCTCTGTTGCCACTTTGTACCATTAGCACCTGTTCTTCCTACAGTAGCCAGAGTAATCTTCTACAAATGGGAATCTTATCAGGCCCTTCCATCAATGGCTCCTCATCTTGTTAGTCCTTATTATCATAATCTGTGATCAGGCCTTTACTATTATTCCCAAGTAATCACATGTGACTCTCCCTCTGCTCACTTAGCTCCTTGTTAAGTTGGAATGCTTTATTACATATGTAAATCTCTCTCTCTCTCTCTCTTTTTTTTTTGTATTATTTGGGTAAAAATTGGAAAACTTTCAGATCAAAACCATATTTAGGTTGGCTGCTTATTCATGGTTCTGTCATCAGACTTAAAAAGACCTATGATTTAAAATGGATGGTGAGTGGATATTTGATCTGGGAGTCCTTAGCTCTAAGTTATATACTACCCTACATTGCTTTGGGCTTAGTATTTATGAAACAGTTATAAGAGTTTGGATGAAAATAATAAATGGTATGGAAATACAAGATAAAACCTTGGAACGTTTGTGTGTCATTATCCCCTTGATTTTCTAACTAGCCTGTCCCAAAATTTTAGGGATGTTAGACGGGCCATCTTTCTTGGAGTCTGAGGATCTATGAATCATAGGTTTCCCATTTCTGATTATATTTGGCCCATCAAGCTCCAATCCCTGTCCCCCAGAATTAAATAAGAAAATATGTTTAAGGATGCTCTTTTTTATGAAAACCTGTAATAAGCATAGATCCAATTATTGCCTTTTCTAGGCAAGACATTAATGGCGACAGTGTTGGCTGGACATTTTCCCTCTGATACTGAATTTGTAAAATTATTACCTTTAAAACCAAGCTCATACTTAATGGTTTCATTTTATTTTTGCACCTCCCTTTGGGTTTCTTTGCCTCATGGGTGGAAATTTTCAAGAATCACAGTCCTTAAGAGATGTAAAACTAGAACCTCATAAGTTCAAAATTTGTAAAATACAGGGTGGGGCAAAAGTAGATTTATAATTGTTCACATGGAAAATCATATAATAGAAAATAACACAAGAATAAACTCTGTGATCCTCATACTCACAACTATAAATCTACTTTTGTCCCACCTTGAACACTGGTTCAGAAAAAAAGGGGGGCTATTCTACCCTTCAAATGACATTTTTCTTTTTCTTTTTAAAAAATATATTTTATTGATTTTTTTTTTTACAGAGAGGAAGAGAGAGGGATAGAGAGTTAGAAACATTGATGAGAGAGAATCATCGATCAGCTGCCTCTTGCACACCTCCTACTGGGGATGTGCTTGCAACCTACATACATGCCCCTGACCGGAATCGAACCTGGAACCCCTCAGTCCACAGGCCGACACTCTATCCACTGAGCCAAACCGGTTTCGGCCAAATAACATCATTTTTCATGTGATATGTTTCCTGAAGGTCATCTTACCTAATAATAGAGTAATATGCAAATTAACCATCACTCCACTATACTCACAAGCCACACCCACAAGCCACACCCACAGCCAATCAAAATGAGCATGCAAATTACCCAACCAAAATGACTACAGCCACAGAGAGCAGGAGGGAGGTGTTTCCGCAGCAATGGAGGAAGCCAAGCTTTCTGCCTGCCCTTGCTGGCCTAAGCCTCCACTCAAGGCTACAAAGTTTCAATTATAAAAGGTAAACAAATTCCAACAGAAATGGCTGCAGTCACAGAGCAAGCAGAAGGCTTGGCTCCACTCCAGGCTATAAAGTTTCAATTATAGAAGGTAAATAAATTCCAGATACCAGGGCCTCCGCTTGGGTTGCCAGGAGGCTTGGCTGGCCTGCAAACCACCTCAGACCCTCACTCAGGCTGCCCCACGCCCCAAGGGAACCTCCAAACCAGCTGGCCCCCACCCATGCACCAGGTCTCTATCCTATCTAATAAAAGAGTAATATGCAGATTGACCACCACTCCAACAAACAAGATCAAGATAGCTGCCCCCATGTGGACATGAGATGGTCACCACAAGATGGCCAACAGGGGAGGGCAGTTGGGGGGAACCAGGCCTGCGATCGGGGCCTACAGGCTGGGGACAACTCCTGCGTTGAGCGTCTGCCCCCTGGTGGTCAGTGCGCATCATAGCGACCGGCCGTTCTAGTCATTCTGTTGTAATGGTCACTTCGGCTTATATAGAGATATATAGGTATATAGATATATAGATATATAGATATATAGATATATAGATATATAGATATATAGATATATAGATATATAGATATATAGATATATAGATATAGATAAGGGCAACGGTGACCTATTCCATTAGCACCTACTCTGGGAATTGTGGCAGGACTGACTGACCTTTTAGGTTTGGATCCATTGTGAAGAAATCACTGCTCTTGGGTGTGCTAAACTTCCATAAATGTGAGCTTGTAAAAGAGAATAAGTGAAGGGGAGAAAGCCTTGAGTTTGAATGCAAGGCAGATAGACTATCACATTCCCTTTCTTTATGCTTCAGAAGTTCACCTGGACCCCTACCGAACGTGGTGCCCCGTCGCAGACTGTCAGACTGTGTGCCCCATTGTGTCAGGTGACCCAGGACAGCCTGTGCTGGTGGAGTGCCCTTCCTGCCACCTGAAGTTCTGCTCATGTTGCAAGGACGCTTGGCACGCCGAGGTTTCCTGTAGAGACAGTCAGCCTATCGTCTTGCCAACAGAGCACGGGTAAGAAAAAAAAAAAGTGGTATTTGGGATTATTCACTAGTTTTCTCAGAAACACAAAATATGTTGCTTGGAGAAGGAGTTATCTTGTGATGGAAATTAGATAATCACTATTTGCATGCAATATTTGCTGAGAAGTGTCTTAAGACTGGTAAGTTGTTAACAAAGACTAACCCACAAAAGCATTTCTAGAGGGATTTTAATTATTTACCTCAGAGCATCTTTCAGATACTGCTGAAATGAGAGTTTGTATGAGTTTTGATTTCCCTGTAATTAGAGAGTCATATGGTCCACTGGTTCTCTGTTGGAAGTCTTAGCTTGTCCACAGCCATTTGCTTGATATCAGACCCGCCAGCTATGGACATACCTCATGCTTCCTGATTGCAAAGTGTGCAGAAATTATTTTCTCCCCTAACTAAATTGCCAGCTCCTGAGGTGTGCCAATCATATCAGGGAGAACACAGTGGCGGAAACAGCCTTCAGTATGGCCCAGTGCTAACTTCATAGGTGCTAGAGGAAAAGAGCTTATCTCTCAGTACTGGATGCTTTGAAAAGGTGGTGCCAAGGTTAAGATTCTGCTGTGATGAGAAGCAATTAAATCTGTACCTTTCAGTGGGGAGGGTTTCATGGCAGCCGCAGGGCCTGGAGTGAGAGGCCTTTATGTTTGATCCCTTGCTTTGCTTGAGGCTATGGCTGTTCTGCACCAGCAAGAACAGAAATGCCAGTGTTGCAGTCCGGTTGGCTTAGCCCTCTGCGCCCTGAGAATGTGTAGAGACATTCTTCAGGAACAGCAGTGCTACCTGGCTGTGATACTGTGCTTGAATCTCAGACCAAACAAATCAGAGGGAAAACAGATCCAGTACACAGGGCAGGCATGTGCCCTTTTAGCCAGTGCCTCCTCCATTGTTGCTGCCACCACAGTAAGGTCCCGGGTGTCACAAGACGATGTAAAGATCCCAGAAGGAGAAGGACTGAGTTCTGACATTGTCATTTGGCATCCGTGCGACCTCATGCAAGCCACTCACACCCTATGGGATGTTTCTCTATTTGAAAAAAAAATGGGGGAGATAATTAAAATAGTAACTGTTCCACTGCTCTATGAGGTTATCGTGAGTACCAAATTCTGTCATAGTTTTTATAACACTGTGAAGCGGGTGTCTCTGGGCTGGGGGTGGGTTTTGATGAACAGTAGCTGAAGTGCTGCCCAGTGCTGTGGCTCATCTAGCCTTCCCTGCCACACCCTCTTCCCCTTTTGCCCTCCTCTTTTCTATGTCCCTCTGAGCTGTGACCCTGTGTTGGCCTATCCATCTGTTTGGAGCAGGTCTTTTCAATGACTACTTTAAAGTATTGATTATCAACTCCCCATAGTCTCTTTCATTTGTGTATTTAAACAGCTTATTAGATGGATTATCTATGCCCCATCAGATCCTGAGCTAGTTTTTCTGCTGTGTAGCAGATTTCTTGCACTTTTTATTCAGTGTGTGCTCAGAGAATGAAATACTAATTGAGCAAAAACAATGAATTAAATCAGTTGTGGAAAATATACGACGATATAATCCACTCAAAGCCAAACGATACTAGTAAATGAATTAAGGTATTTTTGTTTTGTTTTGTTTTGAGTTATCTGAACAACTAATAATTTCTGTTATACCTATTTTTACCCCCACCTTTTCCCCTTGAGGGTGTGAATTAAGCACATATTGCAAAGAGTTCACTACCTAAACATCAGGAGCCTTAGGAGATCCAATTGCTGGCCATAAAATTGAGTTAGAAGGGCATTATTTATCCATCATATTTAGCTTATTCTTACCATAGGTCTGGTTAGTGTACACCCTGTGGTACTGACTTTAAAAAACCAGGCAGCATTCTCCATTCCCACCCAATGATTTCTCATCCGCTGTGTTTCTAGGGCCCTCTTTGGGACAGATGCAGATGCCCCCATTAAGCAGTGCCCATTTTGCCGGGTTTATATCGAACGCAACGAAGGCTGTGCTCAGATGATGTGCAAGAACTGCAAGCACACGTTTTGCTGGTACTGTCTGCAGAACCTGGATGTAAGTTCCACGTGGAAGACTCTCTCCCAGCATCTTTCTCCATCCTGTACCTGTGCAACAGCCGTGTCCTACAGCCTTTCCTTTCAAACATGGAGCCTGCTTTTGTCCTGCCCCCAAATTTATTTTTCTTAATGAGACTTCCCGAGCCTGCTAGTTTAGATATCCACAACACCTCTTTTTGATTACCTTAGGTATGTCACCTTTGCTTTAAAAGGCAAGCTTTTGTTTTAGGGACATTTCCTGCTTTGGGGGCATTGTTTCATTCTATCATGTATAGGACTATTAGTGTATTAGTTTTATGTTGCTATTTAAAAAAAATTATCACAACATTTTGGCTGAAAATGACACAAATTTCTTACCTTTAGCTCTGAACATTGGAAGTCGAATGTGGGTTTCACTGGGTTAAGATCAAGGTGTCCTTGGGGCTGCATTCCTTCTGTAGTCTGTAGGGGAGAATCCATTTCTTGGCCTTGTCCAGCTCCCCGAGGCTGCCCGTATTCCTTGGCTCATGGCCTCTTTCTCTGTCTTCACAGGCTGTAACATCACATCCCTCTGACCCTTATTTTATAGTCATAGCTTTCGGAGTCATCCCCTCTGCCCATGCTGGGAGAGCTTCTCTACCGTTAAGGACCAGTGAGATTAGATTGGGTCCCTCTGGACAACACAGGATAATCTCCCCCATGTCAAGGTGTTACTTTAAACACACTTGAAAGATCCCTTTCGCCATGTAAGGTAACATTTTCACAAGTTCTGGGGAAATGCTATAGGCTTCTTTAGGGGGCACTTGTGCTGCCTACTGCCATTAGGTTGTTTTCCTCTTTTTGAATTTAAAGAAAAAAGCCACTCAAATCAATGGTGTCTCTCAAGTAACTGTCTCATCAATTGGCACGACAGAGGCATAAAAGTACTGTTTTGTCATGATTCCCTTCTAGACAAAGAGGTTTGGTCTCATTGATCTTTTTCCTAACCCTTCATGAAGCATGTCTTCTCAAATTCAGGTGGAGTTTCATTCAGTCCTGTGCTAAGGCTAATGGTAACTAACCTCAGAGTTAAAAGATGGTGTAAAGAATTGTTGAGAATTCATTCTGCTGTTTTCAATTACAGTGTTTTAAAGTTAAAGGCAGCTTAAATTGTTTACAGGTATTCCCAATTTGGGCAAGTTGGACCTAACCCTAACCCTAACCCTAACCCTAACCCTAACCCTAACATATGTCCATATCAGTGTAAGCCCTCAGTCATGGGTGGGTGGCCATTCTTTTATCAGTTGGCCGTATTAATTGTTCAGTTTGCTTCAATTCAACAAGCAAGTCTTTTAGTGCTTTAGTATCTTAGGCAGTTGCAGTGTGTGTGCAATTGATAAGGAATGCATGCTGGCCCCCATGTGCCAGGTTTTTAACTGAAAATTTGGTAAGTTGTTTAGGATGACATCTATGAATAGGAATCTTAATTAGTTTTATGTCAGTCTTTCAAGAAGAGGTATAAATTGGGGAGGAGAAAATTGACCTTTTAGTCTCTAGAAATTTAGCAGTTCAGGTTGAGAGAAATATTTTCATTCTTTTTAAAAAAATTCTATTATACTCCTTGAATTACCATTAAGTTTGATAGTGGAGACCTCTCATAAACCCAGAGGAGTCCTGTTCTAGAAGAGGATTTGATGCTTTACAAATAAAAGAACTCTTTTTTTATTTTATTTTCCTCCATGTTTCACCAGAATATTAATTGGGTTCAGATCCACAAGCAGGCTGGGCCCATGAGGTTCTCTTCAGGAAGCCAGAATATAAGGGAGTAAATGTGTGCGCCAGATCTCTCCATCCTCTGGCCGAAATGTGTTTGTGGCATGGAGTTGCAAGAACACACTGTTCCATCACTTGACTGTTCCAGGACTCAGAGACTAAACGGCCCAGATGCCAGGTGGCTGGATACGAAGCATGGTTTTCTGGTCATTGTTCTCTGCGACCTCATTTTTTCGCTTTTAGCCTGTGGCATTGCCTTTTTGGTAATGATGTTTTTCTGTAGACGAATGTTCCATGTCAGATGTGGTGTTGATCCTTGTTTATAGGAAAGTTGTAGAGTGTGGGTTTAGGAGAAGGGTGATTGTCCAAAATCCAGTCCCTATACAGACACCAAACAGTGATTTTGAGTTTTTCTCAGGCATTAAGAGTGTTCCTGCCTTGATCCTCATCCCTGCTGTTTCAGAGGATAAAGTATTTCCTGTCACTGCATAAAGCTCCGTGTTCTTTCTTTTTGGGGGCAGTTTAAATGTGTATTAAACCAAGCTTTTCAATGATACCCACATGTAAACAAATATACGTGAAAGTAAAAAAAAATCTCTTATGTTAGAATTAATGGAAAAACTCTTATATTAGAATTAATGGAAAAACATTGGCATCTCACCACTCCTTGGGCCGATGCCATGGGGCCTTGTTATAAAGAGTTCAAAGGAAAACCAGAAGGAATTTAGCTCAACTCCACCTGCTAGGATGAATTTCAAGATAGATAATTTCTCCACATTATAGTAGATTGGGTTATAGCAGAGCAATAGTGTAGATTTTACATTCACAGATTGGCTGAAATTGTGCAAATTAATTTCCTCTTCTGGTATCTCCCTCCCTTTTACAATTAATAAGATATGATAGACCACAGTGGCTACAAAAATAGATAACTCATAGAGTAATTAATAGCTACCATTAGCAGAGCACAAACTTACAGAATTTTCTTTTTCCCATAATGAGCAAGATATAATAAGCATGTTCAAGATGTACAGCCAGCAGACTTCAGAGTGGTGAGAGAGCATTGTAAAGAAAAAAGTGCTAAATACAAAAGCCAGTGCAGGAAGTGTATACAAAAAGACAGAATCCTAATTCTTCACCTCTGATTGTCCTACAATTTTCCCTTTATGAATCTTATTAACCATTTTTTAAAATTTGTACATAGGTAACGAAGTATTATTACCTATGTACAAACTTTAAAAATGGTTAATCACGAGACAAGCAAAAATTGAATAACTTAATAGTAGTACTAAAATCATTGAAACCTGTAGCGTTTTGTGTGCTTTCATATATACTTCTGTGGATGGGGCTTTATAATGCCCCCCAAAATAATTTGATAGAGTTTTTAAAATTCCCACAAAAATCTATTTTACAATCATTTCAGATATAGGAGGGAAAAAGTCCCGAACTGAAAAATGAAAAAGGTAAAAAATCTCACACAGTGTCTGAAAATCCATGTCATTCTTATGTGCCCTTAACACTTTATCAGGTGCTCTGTAAGGTAACTGTAATGCTGTTCCGAAAAAAAAAAATCTCATTTAAGAATACACAGTAATTTTTATTCTAATTCTAGAATTAAAAGTACTTATTTCATATAATGTGTGTTTCAGCGAGTTTGGCACCTACTTGGTTGTATTTGCCGGTGTCATCTTAACACTTCATCAAAGCTTCATGGCAGATGTGAACTATAAAAGCTGAGTACTAACACTGCCACCTTCTATTTGCTCACAGGGAGGGAAGGGTATCCTTAGCTGTCCCTAAGGTCACTCCAGCCTAGACCAATATCTCCTAGAAACTTTCGCAAGAGAACTTGCCCCCCAAAATATCTATAATTTAATGTGTTTGAGACTTGCTAGGTTAAATAAACAGGCTCCACAGACACACTAACATACACTCTATCCCTTCTTGATGCAGCTTTCCCCAAAACTTAACTTGACCTTGCCAGAGAACACCTGGAACCACCACTGGATCTCAGGACATTACTTTCCTATGGAACACAGGTTGAGAAATGCCATTATAACCTAAATTTTATAAAATGATAGTGAACATTGGAAACACATGGGAGGTATGTTAAAGCGTAGATACCATGCCCCACTTCAGAAATCTGCGGTGGGCCCTGGGAGCCTCTGTTTTTAAGATAGTGGAGCTGATGGAGTGAGGACCGCACTTTGAGTGCTGTCCACCTAGACAACATCCAACACAAACCTCAGCTGCAGGAAGCTCTCCTGTGGCCTCAGGAAAGGTTGGGTATGGCATTTGCAACCATCAATTAGCTCGTCAGATCAGCCCACTGACATCTTAGAAGGTCTGGGGCACCTTGGTTAGGTAGAGGAGCACTTTACTTGACTTCTGCCTCTGTCCCTTCCCACCGGGTGACTAGGCACAATGACTGCCTCTTAAAAGAGGAATAATAACACTGGCCAGTGTGATTCAGTGGTTGGAATATCAGCCTGCCCGCCAGGGGATCACCATTTCATTTCCCGGTCAACAGCACATACCTGGGTTGCAGGATCAATCCCTGGCTCTGATTGGGGCACATGTGGGAAGCAACCAATTGATGTGTCTCTCACATCCATATTTCTCTCTTCCTCCCTTCCTCCCTTTCATTCTCTAAAAATCAATGAAAGGTAAATATCACATGATTTCACTCATATGTGGCATATAATGATCAACATAATTTGATGAACAAGAATAGATCCAGAGACAAATGGTAGGGAGAGGGGGTAAGAGAGCAACCAAAGGACTTGTATGCATGAATATTAGCATAACCAATGGACACAGACACTGGGGTGGGGGGGCTTGCCTGGGGTGGGAATGGCTGGAGGGGAAGGGGGTCAATTGGGGAAAAAGGAGACATATGTAAAACATGTCAATAAAAAAATAAAAAATAGACAATAAAAAAAAGAAATGAAAAAAAAATTAATGAAAAAAGTATCCTTGGGTGAGGATTAACAAAAAATAAAAACAGAGGAATAATAGTGGTTCCCGCTCAAGGGATCTGTGAAGCTTAAAGGAAGCTACCTAACAAAAAGCATCAGACAAGTGTTATTAATCAGAAGAATGTGTCAGTCTCAGTAGTTAAATCCCAGATGAGTTTCTGTCTCTTTTGCCACTACTGAGCCTTTATAAAAGCACATTCTGGCAGCTAATGAAGAGAAAAGAGGCAAAACAAAACAAAACAAAAAACAAAACAAAAAAGTAAAAGAAAAACAAAGAAAAGACACAGTGAGAGGAAGATGTATAGTGGATTACTTAATTAAATATACCTAATTGCTTAAAAAAGATAAATTTTCAAAGCTCTTAATTATGCTGGCTTTGAGATAGTATTTAAAAGTTATAGTCTATTGATCTTTGAACATACTCACTCTTCTAATATGTTGTTACTGGTTAAATTTTAACATCAAGAGAATGTGAAAAAAAGTCTTTTACTCAAATATGTATGAATTAGATCTAAAAAAATTTAGTTGAGATAGTCCCAGTCCACAGTGGGAGGATGAGGTATTCTTAATCTGCTTTGGGTACCTTGGCGACTTGTCCCCTTCAGTTATCTTCTCTCTCCTCCAACTTCAGCATCCACTCTCCACTCCCTAGTGTCTAAATTATTCAAGCACTCAACTGTGTCCCATTTAAAAGTGGGTATGCAACACTCTTCTCAAGTTTACATCTTTACAGCCATTCTTTTTCTCTTGTCCCTTCAGCAGCCAATAAAGCACACTCACCTCAAGCTGTTGACACTTACTTACCTCCAGTCATTGCCGAGCTCAGATTGCCACTTCATCACACCCAGACTGTTTTCTTCCGAGGCTTCGAGTGGCTGCTTTTGGCTAAAATCCAAGGAACACTTCATTCCTCATCTTACCTAGATTCTCTGCTGCCTTTGACACCTTGACCACCTCTGTTTCAGTGATTCTACCTTTTCAGGTTTCCCTTCTACATTTCTGGCCCCTTCTCAGTTTCTTTTCCAGGCTCTTTCTCGATCCATTCTTATATGGTTGTGTTCAACAGCCTGCTTGCCTCTCAGTCTGCACTCTCTCTGGGTAATCTCATTTACTTCTGTGGTTTTTCTACCCCATGTACACTGATTCCTGTCTTCACCCCCAAATTCACATCTATGTAACCAACTGCCTTTTGATCAGTGCTGCTTGGATGTCTTAAGTATCTCTCAAGTTCAACATCTCCAAACGTGCTCATCACCTCCCAACAAAATCCATCTCTATGGTGTTTCTCTCAACAAAGCCTAGTGACTTTCCCCCCATCTGCCATCTCTATTTCCCCACTAGTTAGTTACCCATCTTAATATCTCATGATTGTATTTTCTTCTTCTCCATCTCAACCACTGGCATTTTATCACCTTGTTTACTGCAACCATCTGTGAGCTGTCTCACTCATGGTCCTCTCATTTCCTATCACACCTCTGATAGAGTTACCTTTTGATGATAATTGGTCAGGCCATTAATCTTTATTAGATTCAGTCAAGAGTCTCATTGCTTATCCTCTGTTTTCACTTGGTGATATATAAAACTACTAAAATAGAGTCTAAAAATCATGGGCTTGGAATTCCTAGAAGCCATTATTAATAGTACCAGAAAGAGCCTTTGCTTCCACTAAGGTGATCTGATGTGGTTAGTATCCATCTCTCAATTCAAAATTGCATGCTTACTGAAACCTCTCTCTTTGTTTTTCAGAACGACATTTTCCTCAGACATTATGACAAAGGGCCATGTAGGAATAAGCTTGGCCATTCAAGAGCCTCAGTGATCTGGAACCGAACACAGGTACCCTGACCTTGAAAGAAGCATGCGATACACCAGACTCACAGTGGCTTAGAAAACCTGCCTGTTCATCCTTCCCACTTTACTGCTGTAGCCCAGGAGTGTCCTGGGAATTCTGGGGCAGGGTTAGGTCTGGAATTAATTCATGAGCACAATACTCTTAAAGATAAGTAGAGGTGCAGGGCACCAGAGCAGCCAAGTAAATAAGAGTGACTTGTGGAATGAGGGAAGATGCTCTCTCCTCCTGAAAAAGATGGGATGATTTTCCCACAGCTCTTCATGGGACATCTGCTATGAAAGGCAGTGCTCTAAACCTGACAAGCCCTTGCAGGGGCTTAGATCCCTCTGTACATGCCATTGTGTGATTATGTGACAGGTTCAAAAGGAGCCCTGGATTATTTTTAATAGTGTTTCATATTTAATAAAGGCTATGCTTCTTTTGAAGGAGCCAGTGTTAACAGGCTAGGAATCATTATTAACATCCCGAGGAGGCTGTTGCGGAAACTCAGGTAGAGAGAGAGCCAACACCAACATTTCATGATTATACTAAGCTTGTGCCAGAGCCTGACTTAGCATTTGGTTTGTTCTTCTCGCCTTTGATTTAGTGTCTGGTATCTTCCTGAATTATTCAGTTCAGACCACTGCTGGGGACTGCCTAAAATGTTTTGTAATTGTGACTGTTTTATGTGTCTGAGTTGGCGTCTTTAGTCAGTTTAGGCTGCTATAACAAATTACTATAGACTGGGTGGCTTAAACAACGGGTATTTATTTCTCATGGGTCTGGAGAATGGAAGTTTAAGGTCAGGGTGCCAGCAGGGTTCAGGTTGGGTTCTGGTGAGGACTCTCTTGTTGGTTTACAGATGGCCATTTTCTCATTGTGTTCTCACATGGCAGAGGGTGAAGAGAGAGGAAGCCAGCTGTCTGGTGTCCCTTCTTCTGAGGGCACTAATCCTTTCATGAGGACTCCACCCTCAAGGCCTAATTTCCTCCCAACGAACTCCATTTCCAGACATTGTTATGTTGGGGATTAGTTCCAATGGGAATTCTGAACCCGTAGCTGATGGTATAGTATACATATAGGAAGATTTACCTGCTAAAATATTTTTCTTTCTTTCTAAATTCCCAGGTGGTTGGCATTCTTGTGGGGTTAGGCCTCATTGCCTTGGTGACTTCACCTTTGCTACTCCTGGCTTCCCCCTGTATAATCTGTTGTGTCTGCAAGTGCTGCCGGGGCAAGAAGAAAAAGCACGACCCATCCACAACCTAAGGATCTCGGTTTGTGTCCGTGTGCTACATAGCACAGTGATAAAGCCCCATATGGTGAACTCGCCTTCTTTTTCTTGCCAAATTTTGGAAGTGCCTCTGTGTCCAGACTTTGAACTTGCCTGCCCACCTGTGGCGTCAAAAAAGGCCAAGCACTGGTGTGTGTGTTCCTGTGAAAAGAGAATCGGGTTCTGCAGTCCAGGTTGCATCTGTGGAGCATGTCAGAAGCTTCGGGTTCTTGGGAAGGAACTAACACAGCATCATTTTATCACCTGAAGGATCCCCTGGGACTGTTCAACTTTCAGCCAAATTCAAGGAGCCTGAGTGAACAATTCAATATAATAAAGGTGTTGTCATGGTTGGCAACATACATGATAATTGAGAAGCTAGCGTCTGTTCTGTGTTGACTTGACTACCAAGAGATATATGGGGGAAAACCCGTGGATGAGACTATTTCAGGGGAAATTCTAGTACGACTGATAAAGTAGGCTGCTTATCTCGGGAGGTGATAAGGTGGCTCTGCCTCTGCCAGTTACTGGGTGTGCTTTCCCAGCATTCCCACAGCCACTTGGCAGAAACTCAATAGGTTTCTCCCTGTGTGATCTCAGCTTCAAGCAGGAGAAATGGCTGTGCAGAGGAAGTTGTCCCTTCCCAGTAAAAGGGTTTCAGCCTATAAAACAATATGGCCTAATTTAGTCTCTCTTCCTTGGCAAGTATAACTTTTTTTGGGGATAAACTCTTCTCATAGAGCCAGTGGCTGCTATCTACAAGCTTGTTTTACATGAATTATTTGGGTAGAGTGGCCGAGGTTCAAAACCTGCATCATAAATAATAGGGCCCTTTCTTGAGCTCCAAATTTAGAATTAGACCTAAAAGTACACACCAAATATGAGTAGTAAAGTCCATATGTATCTAGAACCCATATAACTTGCTTCCCACCTAGAATTTCTGACCACTGGGCATGCCTGGATAGATACATAAAATGATGGTGTGTATTATTACACACAATAATACAACACACACATCTTCATGTAAAAGCCATTCTGTACTTTCTTCTGTGACTAATATTGTTTAATATAAAGCAACCTAAAGATTTTTTTGCATATTATATATGTAAATTTTGGTTGCAAATTCTTAACTTACACAAGTATAGACTAAAAAACAACTCTTTAAAAAATAATACTTAAAATGACATCATGCAATCTTAGTTTGTAAAAATACTGGTTGATAATCATGTTATTTACCCTCATTTTTTTGAGAGAGAAAGAGAGAAAAACATCCATCAGTTACCTCCAGTACTCACCCTGACCAGGGATCGAACCCACAATTTAGATATGTACCCTGATTGGGAATCAAACCTATGACCTTTCAGTGCACGGGATGATGTTCAAACCAATTGAGCCACACTGGCCAGGTTATTTCTGTATATTCAAACACAGCTCAGAACAGCTGTCTTCTCAGCTGGGTTTAATATCTGTTAAGGCAATCTGAATACTTTTCTGTATGTATAAGGCACTGATAACCCAAATATGTAAGAAATAAAATGACTTGTTTTTCCCATTATACAATAGTCAGATTTTGAATAAACGGGTTTTGAAAGGACAATAACTTTTTCTCCAGTGACAGGATGACATAATTGCCATCAGCAAGGTAGCCTGGTGCCTCATTAGAACTGTATTAATGACAGTGGAGAATTCTCTTTGAAGCCATGTCAGGAACTATCAGGACCTATGATATGTTCTGAGTAACTGGGTAACTACATTATTAAATTGCTGCTATCCGGGACCTATTATTGCCTATGTATGGAATGTATCCCAAGTGGGGATGTGTATATTTAAGGAACTTGAATTCACACATACTATGTATATATGTATGTATATATACATATGGTACTTTTGGTCATGTATATTTTTATTTACAGTTTGTATAGAACATCAGTGAGAATGCTGGGAAAACTTTTGAATGGCAGCCAACCAAAAAGATTTTTAATCATTAGAAATTTCTCAATATTAAGTGTCTTTATTTTCCTTTAAAACTCAAAACACTTCAGAAAAAAAATCAATGGTCTATCAATGTATTTCATATTAGTATAAATGTATATATATATTTGAATAATTTGCTTTACTTTACACGGCCTCATTATAGTAAAAGGTATTTGTAACTGCTCAGGGGAATCACAGGGACTCAACTGAAATTGAATTTTTATGTCAAGAATGTCAGCAATGGCAGTAAACTCTTCAGGCTTGGTTCCGCAAAGAATCTTAAAATGGGCAGATTTCATATAACCCAAAAGACTGTTATTAAAGGTGGAGCTCCTGAATATGGAGTGAAAGTGGAGGAAAATATCTATGTTATTTCCCTGGAAAAAATGGAAGGAATGGTCTTCTCACAGAGATACAATTATAGCAGAATTCGCTCTTATGTGTGTGTAGGTGAGGGGGGAATAAGGAATAGGGTTGTTTGTCAAATAAACTTGAAATAACTGGACTTAAGTTTTTAAATGTTGAAAAGTCCCTGGGAAACAGAGACTTCTTCCCTGAATAGCTAAGAGAATTGGCCTGTGTGACATTGTCAGGATCAACAGGAACAGATTGGTAGGTGAAATATAAGTATGTCTGGTGCATCAGGGTTTAAATGCAAGCCATACAAGAGAATCCTATCTAAAAAAAGAGTAATATGCAAATAGACCATCACTTCAACACACAAGATGGCCACCCCCATGTGATCAAAGATGACTGCCCCCATGTGGACACAAGATGGACCACAGGGAAAGGCAGTTGTGAGTGATCAGACCAGCAGGGGTGGGCAGTTGTGGGTGATCAGGCCAGCAGGGGTGGGCAGTTAGGGGTGACCAGGCCAGCAGAGGAGGGCAGTCAGACATCCTTTGAGGAATCCCAGATTGGAGAGAGTTCAGGCTGGGCTGAGGGACACTCCCTTACCCCCCTCTCTATGCAAAAATTTCATGCACCGGGCCTCTAGTTTGTTTATAAAAAGAGAGAGCTGACAACTTTGATAACCTAGATTGATGTTGTCATTTTGGATAGTTGCCAGTGAAAGGGTTCAACTTTGTCTCCTCCCTTTGTCAGCTTTATCCTTCCCTAGTGGTTCTCATTCTGTATTAGAAAGAAATCTGGGTTTGCATGATCATGCTTGGATGGTGTAGCAAAATATTTTTGTGTTTGGAGTTGCAGAGTCCATTTGAAATAGAAATTTAAAAATCCTTCACCAAAATTGGATGCAAGAACTTACCCATCCAGAAATAACTATTGGTTGTGATGTGTAACATCTAGCCATTGCCCCTTCTAGGTAGGGAGATGAGGAGGAAATTCTTTTTCCTAGGTAGGGAGATGAGGAGGAAATTCATATGGAAGGACATTTTAGAATCTTAAGCATCCTACTGGTTTTTGTTCTGGGCTTGAAGTCTCTCTTTTGAAGGAGGTCTTTGTAAAAGGAATAATTTTGAATTTTCTTGTAATCTGCAGCATAATGAATTTTCTTGTAGCCTGTAACACAAAAATTTTACCTATCCAAGTCTGAAAAATCTAAGTGCTTATTTAAATGTAAATCACTGCTTCTTGGAACCCAAAATTGACTCTTATAAGTTATTCAGAATCTAAACAAGTTTGTATTATTTTAACCTTTCCTACACAGTGCTTCTAAAAGACTTTCTGTTCATGAATGGATGCCTTTATGTGTATAGAATCATGTATATATGTGTTGCTTCAGAGACAATTACAGAACGCCTTAGATAAATGATATTTTAAAACAGTATCACAATTGATATCTATAGGCTATTGCATCTCATGTTGATTCATAACCCAGAAAGTTTTGTTATGTATTTAAGAAATTGCTGTCATATTATATTTTCCCAATAACTTGAGAGGAAAATAGCTGTTTTAGTATCTCTAGCCCCAATAAATGTGGAGCAGGAAATCAAGTGTGTTAACTCTTGTTGTGCTATATGTTTTTAGACATGTTTAATTTTATCATCTAAAATGCCAGCCACATCACTATTAAATCCTAGGCTCTGCAATACCATTTACGGAAGTGACTCTTGCAGCCTGTTTCTTAGGAGAAATAGGAGCAAATGTAACACCTTCACTTGCTGCAGGCTTGTTGTTCTAGTATGTGTGATATTCCACACTGCCAGTGCACAAGCATTAATCATTATCCAGAGAAATAAGCAATAATTGAGGTCTTTGATCATTCTAGTAAAAAGTGCTGCCAGGCATCAAAGTCATTAGTTCTGTAAAACAAGGGTTGGACTACATGCTCTCTACAATCAGTTCTAATCTTCCACAAGTTTATTAGAGGAATGTGTTTCCTTGTTATGATTTTTTAAAAAAAGCATTTACATTAGAGTGTTAATTTAAGGTTATTTCCCTTTGATTACTATTCAAGGCAGGATCCCCAAAAGTTGAGTGCCAGGAGTTAGTGAACAAGTAGAACTTGTGTTCTTATAAAACTCACAGCTCACATTTGTATACTGGCCTCAATGCCTTTTTTGTTGAATATTCTATGCTTGTAATATACCTGCGTACAAAGGTTTATAATTGACTTATAAATTTAAATTCTATTTTCTAATCCTTTAGTTTTGAGGAAATCTGTAATATCACTTGAAAATATTTTGGGTTATGGTTTCTTAATTTGCTTAGTCATCTCCTAGAATGTCAACATTATTTCATTTTTAAAGTGTGTTTATTGTTTTCTAAACTTGAATTTTGCATTCCCAAAGAATTATTGAATGAATCACTTTATACAGCAGTGATTTTAATCAACATCTAACCAGCAGACTCATTGCAATGCAAATTATGAATTTGAAAAATTATAATTAGGATTTTCTGTCATTCTGTTATTTCTACTTATTAGATAATAGATTTAAGAGGGTTTTTTTTTTTAGACCCTAAAGATAGTTTACAAATTTACATTATGAAAAAAAATTGTCTCTAAATAATTTAATAGCAATGAACAATCCTATGAGATAAATGGAGCAGGCCCATTTCA